TTTATCTTTAATTCAGGACTTTGGCCATCCAAAATCTTGAATTCAGGATTTTGGCTTCCTAAAATCTTGAATTAAGGATTTTGGCCATCAAAAATCTTAGATTAAAGATTTTAGCGTCCTAAAATCTTGAATTCAGGATTTTGCCTTTCCAAAATCTTGAATTCAGCTTTGTGGCTTTCCAGAGTCATGAATTCAGGATTTTGGCATTCCAAAATCTTGAATTCAGGGTTTGCTTTCTGAAAACTTGAATTTACGATTCTGGTAATCCAAATTCTTGAGTTCAGGATTCTGTCTTTCCAAAATCTTAAATTCGGGGTTTTGGACATCCAAACTCATGAATTAAGGATTTTGGCCTTCCAAGATCTTGAATTCAGGATTTTATCTTTCTAAAGGCTTGAATTTAGGATTTTGGCTTTTCAAAATCTTAAATTTAGGATTTTGGATTTCCAAAATCTTGAATTCAGGATTTTACTTTTCCAAAATCTAATTCAGGATTTTGCCTTAAAGAAATCTTAAAATAAGCCAAAATCTTCAGGAGTTTGGCTCTCCAAAATCTTGAATTTAGGCAAAATCTTGGCTCTCCAAGAACTTTAAATCGTCCAAAATCTTGAATTAAGGATTTTGGCGTACCAAAATCTTTAAGCCAGCCAACATAAATTCAGGATTTTTGCTCTAAAAAACATTAAATTAATATTCAGGATTTTGATTTTTTTAACAATTTCGAATCGAGGATTTTTGCTTACTAAAATCTTCAAGTCAGCAAAATCTTAAATTCAGAATTTTGGCTTTAAAAAATGTTGGGGTAAGCGAAATTCTTGAATTCTGGATTTTGGCTATCCACAATCTTCAAATCAGCCAACATCTTGAATTCAGGATATTTTCATTCCAATATCTTTAATTTACCAAAAATCTTCAATTCAGGATTTTGGCTATCCTTAATCTTGAAATCAGCCAACGTCTTGAATTCAGGATATTTTCATTCCAATATCTTTAATTTACCAAAAACCTTCAATTCAGGATTTTGGCTATCCTTAATTTTGAAATCAGCCAACGTCTTGAATTCAGGATATTTTCTCTCCAATATCTTTAATTTACCCAAAATCATAAATTCAGGATTTTGACTTACCATAATCTTGAGGTCAGCCAAAATCTTGAATTCAGGATTTTGTCTTTCCAAAATCTTCAGTTCAGGATTTTGGCTTACCAAGATCTTGAATTCAGAATTTTGGCTTCCCAAAGAGTTCAATTCAGGGTTTTGGCGCACCAAAATCTTGACGTCAGCCAAAATCTGGAGTTCAGGATAATAATTTTCAAAATCTTGATGTCAGCATTTTGGCTTTCCAAAATATTGAAGTCAGTAAAAATGTTGAATTCAGGATTTTGGCTCTCTAAAATCTTGAAGTGAGCCAAAATCTTGAATTCAGGATTTCGGCTTTCCAAAATCTTGAATTCAGAATCTTGGATAACCAGCAGTTTAAGTCAGCAAAAATCTTGACCTCTGAAGTTTGCTCTCCAAAATATTAAAAGAAGCCAAAATATTGAATTTAGCCAAAATTTTAAAACTTAACAAAATCTTGAAGTAAGCCAAGTAAGCCAAAGTTTTAAATTTAGGACTTTTGGCTTTCCAAAATCTTGAATTTAGCCATCTTGAATTCAGGATTTTGGGTCCCCACAACCTTTCAGTCAGCCAAAATCTTGACTTCACGATTTTCGCTTTCCGAAATCTTAAATTCAGGATTTTGGCTTTTGAAAATCTTGAATTCAGGATTTTTGCTTACCACATTCTTGAGATCAGCAAAAATCTTTTATTCAGGATTTTGGCTCTCCAAAATATTGAAACTCAGCCAAAATTTTGAATTCAAGATTTTGCCTTTCCAAAATCTTGAATTCATAATTTTGGCTTTCCAAAATCTTCCATTTCGGCGAAATCTTGAATTCAGGATTTTGGCTCTCCAAGATCTTGAAATCAGCCAGAATCTTGCATTAAGGAGTTTGTCTTACCAAACTCTTGAAGTAAGCCAAATCTTGAATTTACGATTTTGTTTCTCCAAAATCTTAAGAACGAATGTCGCTAAGGATAGTTAGTTGCGTAGTTAGAACTTCAGATGAAACTACTCACTGTGGCATTTGTTTGACTTCTAACAAAAACCTGCACTGGGCATCAGGGGGGCAAGTTTGGGCCAAAAATTGCATTTTTTGGGACAATTTTCTCCTTGAAAATTGGAGTTTTGTTGGGTAAATATTTCAGAAAGCAGCAGTTAACAATCTGTTGGCAAAATATCATCCTTCCTCTCAATAAAAATGTTGTCAATTTTCTCTAGTAAATAGTAAATTTTCGCAACTTTTGTTCGCCGCTATCTATCTTTTAAATAACGTCATTGGGGCGATGTTAAGCAAGAAGGTTGGATGGTTCATATAGATTGCATTCTTTTACGTTTTACAGTCAGTTATCGAGCAGATTAACGATTTTCGGTTTACAATTAAAAACAGGCATCGTGTGGTTGGCGGCAGTAATTTATGCAAATTACCCCCGCAATATAACTTGGCAGGAAAATCTAATTGGACGTTTTCCAGCAAAATAAATCACTTCAATGGGATTATTAATAGGTAACTGACACATTACAGACCATTAACAAAGCAATCAATGCGAGAAACATTTCAGAGCCAAAGTCAAATCACTCACAAGTCACGGATAGATCTCATCCATGCATGTCGTTGCGTTGAAACTCCCTCTCTCATCTTCCCATCTTCAGTGCACACCCCTAAGTTTCCTTTTACTTTGACAACCTGCCAATTTACTGCAGCCTCCTTATAGAAAGACGTAATTTTCTTCCCCGCGGAAGAAAATGTAGAAAATAGTGTTCTGTTGGATTGTCTAGCAGTTTTCCAGCAGACTGTTCAAGGTAACGTATCTTAGTCACGCAATGTGTCACGTCCTAAGCGGTACCTTTGACCAGCTGTTGACACCATCAATCAATCAATCAATCAATCGATAGATAGATAGATAGATAGATAGATAGCTTTATTAAAACTCCATTGCAGCCCAAGGGCTGGATTACGGACTGTACAATACGTTGAATACTAAGACTAACTATTATAAATCAATAACAGTAAATAAATAAAACAAAGGAACAAAGATACTACGTCATGAAATTTAAGAAAATAGAAATTTAAAAATAGCCGCGTTATGCATGATAAAACTATTCATTAGTCTAAAATAAAAGCCATGTAATTTGTGGAGGCTGTTGTCCTTAATCTCATTGAATTCTCGGTTTTCAATAAAATTCAAACTAAGAAACTATCCATTTATTTAAAAAAAAGGGTTCTTCGTTTTGCGATAGATACGTTTGAATTTCTAGGCTTTTGCGTGACGTTTATGGCATGACTAAAACTATTCATTTTGGGAGTTTTGCTATTTGTTCTGTCACAAATAGTTTATGAGTTTTTTACGATGAATTAACGCATTTCTCAAAAACAGATGTTTCTGTTGGTTTCCGGCGGCCATATTTGTGCCCCTCAAAGTACTAAACATTCCATACGTGGGTAAAACGTTTTTCCTAATATCTCGCAAAAGATTCTTGGCATGTAATTTGTTTTTATTTCCAAGATTCGGGACTTTCTGTTGTGGTTCTTTTTAATTGCTGACATTGAATAGAGAATAGGCGCTCTGTCAGCCATTGGCGCCGTTGATGGAGGGTGGAAATATTGCACTCTTTGAGAGCCTCTTGATAGCCTAAATCTGGGAAAATAATTCTAAGTGCACGGCGCTGAATTTTCTCTAGCTCTTCAGAGAGATACTCAGGCAGACCATTGTGGAAAACTTGGCAGGCATATTCAGACATGGGCCGGATACACGTAGTATAGAAACAAAGTAGCTGCGCAGGATCTCCTTTTGCACGCTTAAGCTGCCTTAATAGATATAGCCTAGAGGCTCCTTTTTTGATAACATTCTCTATGTGAGCGTTCCACTTTAGATTGTTTGAAATTGTGAGACCAAGAAGTTTTGCGCTAGTTACAACCTCAATTGGTTTGTTGTTAATAGTAACTGCTTCGAAAGGATCTACAGACCTTGAGAGACTTATCTGCAACTCTTTACACTTGGTCTCATTCAATTGGAACTTATCTATTTCGGCTTGCCTAACTAGGTCGTCTACAGCAAATTGGATTCCACTTGGTTGGCCCTTGTGGACTGTCTCGGCCATCGATGTGTCATCGACGTACTTCCAAAGGTTGACGCCACATCAATGTCTTGGTAAACAAGTACAAGAAAAAAATTAGAGCTGAAGAAAGAGCATCAGGAATATCCCCAGATGAGCCAAGTGAACTAGATGAGCTAATACAGCAAATTATTGCACTTGAAGAGAGTGCTCCCACAGATACATGAAGTAAGGATAAAGCTGACAAAGCTAAAGCAGAAGATGTAAGAATGAAGCTATGGAAAGGCTTTCCCAAACCAAAAAAGGGTGTCAGAGGAAGCCGAAGAGGGTGGGGACAAACCAAAACGAATAAGAAGAAAAACTGGAGATGCCATGGAGTTTCTAAAGGAAAGAGCACAGCAGAGTGCAGAAATTAGAGAAAAGGAACTTGAGCTGGAAAAGGGAAGACAGGAACAACAACTTAAAGTCCAGCAACAACAGGCTGATATGCTGAAGCTAATGCACCAGCAACAACTGCAAAATCAACAGCAACAGCAGCAGTTTCAGCAACAACAGCAACAGTTCCAGCAGCAACAAATGCTCATGATGCAGCAGGTCATGGGCGTCATGAGTAAAATGCTTAACAAGTAGATGTTAAATTTCTATTTCTAGATGTTTATATGTTTAAGATTTACATTTTTACAAAATGTTGAACTCAGAGTATCATTTGCCACCCCTTTGTTTAGATCTGCTTGTTGTTACACTCCCTGCAAATAACACACAACAACTGTTCAATCAGGATTTTATGCAAGATTTTATGTAAACTTAGGCATTGACAGGTGTTTTTTTTTTTTTTACAGAATTTTAGCTAAAGTAGTCGACTAGTGATGGTAGGTCAAGGCCAAAGTAGTCAGCAGTCGTATTGCGGTAGAGACATGTTAAAGCATTCCGCAAAAGTGCACAAACAATGTACAGTTTTCCTAAATGGCTAAGGCCAATTTTGAGATTCTTTTTGTAATCGAGAAACTTGAAATAATTTATAAGGTCTCCAAACAACCATTCCACACTTGTACGTACAGAACTCATAGATGCATTAAACTCTTCCATTTGTCTTGTTAACACCCCATTTCTGAAGGGGCACTGCAGATGGGTAAGTAGAGGATATGCCGGATCCCCGTAGATACACATCTCCTGTCCAGCAGGAGAAAAGGCGAACTGTGCCAGGTCAACATAGAGGCCAGATGTGTCCAGCATTCTCGCATCATGCATTCGTCCCTCTGAACTAGAGCCAAAAAATTAATTTTTGAACCACAATCAGTCACACATTGGCTGGCTGACAAACTGTTACCTATATAGACCATTGATTAGCTTAGTAATAGTAGGCCAAAAACAACATAGGATTGGCTGGCTATTATTCTTACAGTCCAGGTACTTATGGCCTATAAGTTAGAATTTATAAATTATTTGTCTGTGGTGACGGGACAACCATTTCCTCTAATAACAATTGAAAGTGGGAGCTACTGAAAATACCGTATTTATTCGATTTACCGCCCTGGGCGCTTATTAAATTTTTGGAGCTTAACAGTGGGCGCTTATTCGAGGTGGGCGCGTGTACGAGGCTGGGCGCTTATTAAATTTTCACCATTTTCAGCATGTGAAGTATGTTTATTTTGCAACAAAACAATAAATGCTGATAACAAAACGCAAAGAATTAACAAAGCAAGGTTTCTGTAAAATACTCTGAATAAAACTCCGTCCTCGGGAAAGTCTCTTATTAGAATTTATTCACTCAAGTGGGTGGGGTGGGGGTGAGCGCTTATTTGAGTTTGATTGGGAGGAGGAGGGGGTGGGCGCTTACTCGAGGCTGGGCGCTTATTAACTTTTTCTGCCTTTAGGATGGGCGCTTATTCGAGGTGGGCGCTAATTCGAGGTTGGGCGCTTATTCGAATAAATACGGTACCTCTGATTTGAGAGACCAGGAGGGAGTCATCAAGAAACATCAGATTAACATTATGAGAAAAGAAATCAATCTAACTGTTAAGTTCACACAAGTGATAAAAATGTCTCTCCAAGTAAAAACAGCTACGGCACTATCCCACTATAAAAAATGAATGAATATACCCTTACCTACTGGTCCAAACAGATGGCCAATCAATCCATTTGGTAGGGCCAAGGATTGAAATTTAAGGGCGTGAACGCGCTTGTGTCCATTGTAAACAGCGCTCTGATTGACTCCTGGTTTTGATATGGGACGAACGGTTCCATCAACAAAGCCGAAACAGTTTTCCAAGGTGGCACCTTTGTCATGAATTGCTTCAGAATAAGTTTGCAGTAGGTTAGGAGACATAATGAAATGATTCCATTCGGTAATCCTATGGCCATGAACATTGTACATCCATTCAGTGACTTCATTGCTAATCATGCTGAGCTCGGGCACTGATCGACCAAAAGTAGAAATCATATCAGACAACCTACATGGATAGCTAAAGCGCTTTAGTATAACACAAAGTCCTTCTGTTGAATCACAAACGGTACCATTCGGACATGTGAAGGTATCAGGCATCTGTAAAATATCCACCAGCAATGAGATGTCACTCTTTTCAAATCTGAAGTCTGCCTTACACTCTGCGGGGTCTTTGTTTTCGAGGGAAAATTGTTCGTATTCCCAGTGGCGAAAATGAAGGTTTTGTGGAGTGAATTCTTCATACAGCACGGCAAATTCTTCGTCATCTATTAGCTTTTCTTCCAGACTAAGGAGCAAAGCTTCCTGTAAAGTCTTAAATGAGTTTTGAGTCATTCTTGTAGGGAAAGGTGAAAAGCGTTTTACTGTTTTCCGGACGATGACTAGTCTAAATGATCGCGTTGTTAATCTTAACTACAAATTTCCCGCGCTTAGTACGCGGTGCTCGCCCCAGCCCCACTCTCTGTCGTCGCGTTTTCCAGACCACCGCGTTGTCGGTTCTTATAGTCCCTAATGACAATGAACAGGGGCCGTCAGGAGGAGAGGGGGGTGGGGGCTGGATAAAAATTGATAACATTTTTATTGAGAGGAAAAATGACAATTTGCTATCACGTAAACAGACTTTTAACTGTTAGTCTGCTTTCTGAAATATTTACCTAACAAAACTCCAATTTTCAAGGAGAAAAACTGTCCCAGAAAATGCAATTTTTGACCCAAACTTTCACCCCCCCCCCACCCCCCTAATGCCCAGTGCAGGTTTTTGTTACAAGTCAAACAAATACCAGAGTGAGTAGTTTCATCTGAAGTACTAACTACACACAAAGTATAAGGGAAGGTTTTGTTGGACTATTTTGAATTTTGCTCAATCCTTAGCGTAATTCGTTCTTAAATCATGGATATTGGCTCGCTAAAATCTCGAAGTCAGCCAAAATGTTGAATTCAGCAATTTGGCTGTCCAAAATCTTAAATTCAGGATTTTGGCTTACTAAAATCTTGCATTTTGCCAAAATCTTCAATTCAGGTTTTTGACTTACCAAATTGATAAAGTCAGCCAAGATGTTGAATTCAGGGTGTTGGCTTACCAAATTCTTGACCTCAAGATTTTGGCTTTCCAAAATCTACAATTCAGGATTTTGGCTTCCCAAACCCTTCAAGTCAGCCAAAATGTTGAATTCAGGATTTTGGGTCTTCAAAAACTTGAAGTCAGCCAAAATCTTGAATTCATTATTTTTGTTTACCAAAATCCTAAGTCAGCCAAAATCTTGAATTCAGGATTTTTGCTCTCCAAAATATTAGCCAGCCAAAATCTTGACTTCAGGATTACCGCTTACCAAACTCTTGAAATCAGCCAACATCTTAAATTCAGGATTTTTTCTTTCCAACATTTACCCAAAATCTTAAATTTAGGATTCTGGCTTACCATAATCTTGAAGTCAGCAACAATCTTGAATTCAGAATTTTGGCTTACCAAAATCTTGAAGACGGCCAGAATCTTCAATTCAGGATTTTGGCTTACCAAACTCTTCAACTCAGAGTCTTGGATTACTGAAATTTTGAAGTCAGCAAAAATGTTGAATTCTTAATTTTGCTCTACAAAATATATAAACCAGCCAACATCTTAAATTAAGGGTTTCGATTTCCAAAACTTGAATTTAGCCAAAATACTGAATTCAGGACTTTGGCTTACCACAATCTTGAAGTAAGCCAAAATCTTGAATTCAGAATTTGGGCTTTCCAAAATCTTAAATTTCGGATTTTGGCTATCAAAAATCTTGAAATTAGCCAACATGTTAAATTCGGGATATTTTCTTTCCAAAATATTGAATTTACATAATATCTTAAATTCAGGATTTTCGCTTACTATAATCTTAAAGTCAGCCAAAATGTCAAATTCAGGATTTTGTCTTTCCAAAATCTTGAATTCAGGATTTCCGCTTACCAAAATCTTGAAGTTGGCCAAAATCTTGAATTCAGGATTTGGGCTTACCAAACTTTTGAAGTCAGCCAGAATCTTGAATTCAGGATTTTTTCTTAAAAAAATATTGAATTAAGCCTAAATCTTAAATTCATCATTTTGGTTATCCAAAATGCTGAAGTCAGCCAAAATTTTGAATTTAAAATTTTCGCTCTCCAAAATATTAAAGTCAGCCAAAATCTTGAAGTCAGCAAAAATGTTGAAATCAGTATTTTGGCTCTCCAAAATCTCGAAGTAAGCCAAAACCTTTAATACTGGATTTTGGCTGTATAAAATGTTGAATTCAGCGGACATCTTAAATTCAGGATTTTCTCTTTCCAAAATCTTGATTCAGGATTTTGGGTTACCAAAATCTTGAAGTCAGCCAAAATATTGACTTGTAAATTACGCTCTCTAAAATATTAAACTCATCCAAAAACTTAAATTCAGGGTTTTGGCTTTCCAAAATCTTGCATTAATATAAAATCTTGATCTCAGGATTTTCGCTTTCGGAAATCTTGAATTCAGGATTTTGCCTGACTGCAAGATTTTGGAAAGCCAAACTCCTAAACTCAAGATTTTGGCTTTCCAAACTCTTGAATTCTGGATTTTAGCTTACCAAAATCTTGAATTCTAGATTTGGTCTATCTAAAATCTTAAAATGAGGCAACTTCTTAAATTTGGGATTTTTTCTTTCCAAAATCTTGAATTAAGGATTTTATCTTACCAAATCTTAAAGTCAGCCAAAATCTTGAATTCAGGATTTTGCCTTACCAAAATCTTGAAGAAATCCAAAATCTTGAATTCAGTATTTTGGCTTTCCAAAATCTTGAATTCAGAATCTTAGATTACCAAAATTTTGAAGTCAACAAAAATCTTGAAATCTGAATTTTCGCTCTTTAAAATCTTGAACTCAGCCATATCTTAAATTCAGGATTTTGGTCTACCAAGATCTTGGAGTCAGCCAAAATCTTCCATTCAGGATTTTGGCTGTTCAAAATATCAAAGTCAGCCAAAATTCTGAATTTAAGATTTTGGCTTTCCAAAATCTTGAATTTAGCCCAAAGTTTGCGTTGAGGATTTTTTCTGAACAAAACCTTAAAGTCAGCCAAAATCTTAAATTCAGGATTTTTGCTTTCTAAAATCTTGAAAAAGGCAAAACTCTTGAGTTCAGGGTTTTGGCTTTCCAAAATCTTGAAGTCAGCCAAAATTTTGGATTCAGGAGTTTGGCTTACCATAATCTTGAAGTCAGCCAAAATTTTGGATTCAGGAGTTTGGCTTACCATAATCTTGAAGTCAGCCAAATTATCTTGAATTCAGCGTTTTTTCTTTCCAAAATCTAGAGTTCAGGATTTTGGCCCTCCAAAATCTTGAATTCTGCAGGACGTTTCCTTTCCCAAATCTTGAATTTAGCCAAAATCTTGAATTCAGGATTTTGGCTTACCATAATCCTGAAGTCAGCCAAATTATCTTGAATTCAGCGTTTTTTCTTTCCAAAATCTTGAGTTCAGGATTTTGGTTGCCTGCGTGCAGACGTGTCCTATTTCCTTTGTTGCACGCGGAAAAGGGACGTCTGCGTAACGCCGTCGCTAATCGTGTTCCAGCATCCCGCTGGCAGGGTATTCTATTTCGCATAAATTGTGAAATAATATCCGGTTAGAAATAAGAGTTGACAGGCCAAACAAAACATCATAAGCTCGTGATAATGCGAAACGTGACCTAGAGAGTCTGCTTGAACAGAGGTTTTTCTTCTTTTCTCTCTCGCGCGAACATTACTAGCACTACACAGTGCATGGAGCATTCTAAACTTTGACTGAGTAAATCTCGTTTCTACCGCTCTAAGTCTTACATTTAGAGGTCATGAAGCAGGTTTGTTACATGCATACTGAGTAATCATTTCCTGTGGTTTATGCTTCTGTGGGTGTTCCTGATAGGATTTGATTTCAGATGCAGCAGTTAAGTGTTTAAATTTTCTTTGACCTCTGTTTGTTACGGCTAAATAAAGATTTTAGTTTCTTTGGCTGGCTTTCTCCGAAATGCCTGCCTGGTGCGAAGTCCATGCCGCTCTTGTAGTTTTCTCAGACACTGTTTACAAATATGATGTGTCGTGCAAAGTAAATTGTAAAGAAATAATTTCCTCGCACACGTTAAATTTTCCGCGGCCTCGCACAAGATTTCGAACGGTCTGCACACAATGGCACATGTTTTGATTTGTTTTGGCTGGAAAACCCCGATTATAAATCACCGCATACATTATCAGACCAGATTCGATAACAACCAATCAGCGTCAAGTCAAACAATGCGCACTGTTTGTCAGCCTATCGCAGCACGTTCCCAAGATCTTGGGAACACAGCGGGACGTTGGAACACGATTAGCGACAGCGTTACGCAGACGTCCCTTTTCCGGGTGCAACAAAGGAAATAGGAGACGTCTGCACGCAGGCAAGGATTTTGGCCCTCCAAAATCTTGAATTCTGCAGGATGTTTCCTTTCCCAAATCTTGAATTTAGCCTAAATTTTGAATTCAGGATTTTGGCTTACCATAATCCTGAAGTCAGCCAAATTATCTTGAATTCAGCGTTTTTTCTTTTCAAAATCTAGAATTCAGGATTTTGGCCCTCCAAAATTTTGAATTCTGCGGGATGTTTCCTTTCCAAAATCTTGAATTCAGGATTTTGGCTTACCATAATCTTGAACTCAGCCAAATTATCTTGAATTCAGCGTTTTTTCTTTCCAAAATCTAGAATTCAGGATTTTGGCCCCCAAAATCTTGAATTCTGCAGGATGTTTCCTTTCCAAAGTCTTGAATTTAGCCAAAATCTAGAATTCAGGATTTTGGCTCTCCCAAATTTTGAAGCCAGCCAAAATTTTAAATTCAGTATTTTGGAGTTCCAAAATCTTGGAGTCAGCTAAAACCTTGACATTTAAATTGTTCTATCCAAAATATTAAAATCAGCCAAAATCTTGAATTCAGAATCTTGTACTACCAAAATTTCCCAATCAGGAAAAATCATGAATTCTGAAATTTGGCTCTCGAAAATCTTGAAGTCAGCGAAATTTTGAATTCAGAATTTTGGCTTACCAAAATCTTGGAGTCAGCCAAAATCTTGCATTGAGGATTTTGGCTCTTCAAAATATCAAAAGCAGCCAAAATCTTGAATTCAGGATTTTTGCTTTCCAAACTCGTAAATTTAGCCAAAATCTCGTATTAGCATTTTGGCTTTCCATAATATTGGAGTTGAAGTAAGCCAAAATCTTGATTTCTGAATTTTGGCTGACTGCAAGATTTTGGTAAGCCAAAATCCTCAATTCAAGATTTTGGCTTTCCAAAATCCAGAGTCAAGATTTTGGCTTTCCAAAATCTTGAATTCAGGATTTTGGC